ATAACTGAGCGTGTTTCCACTTCGAAGCATGTGCGTTGGTTATGCGCGTGCGCAGTGCGAGTTTGGGTGAGTTGCGCATGCGTATTTGCTATCAAAACAATGGCGGTTCGAATATTAAATATCAAACTTTGGAGGTATTTTTCTCCCAAATGTGCACCTGTTTCGCTTGGGGAGCAACGGATTCTGATAAAGTAAGTTTTTATCTATTTATTCATGTGAAAATTACGTAGTTACACGAGGGGTGCAACGGAATCCGTTTTTTAAGCATCTTTTGGATGCTCATCCTACGGCCTATGTTTGTTTACCTCCATTCGTTATTTTACTGATTTCCGCACTTTTCAATCCACCACCAACACTTGTAGCAGCCGAGACTGTAACAAAGTACTCTGTAGAAGGTTGCAGATTATTGATAGTTAGTGACAAAGCTGCAGTCCTTCCATAGCATCTCGGATTATTTGTCCTTGCTCGACTTGAATAACAGACTAAATATCCCGTCGGTTTACCATTCCATAAATTATCGTTGGGAGCATTCCAAGACACATTCAGTGAGTATTTACCGCGGGATGTGAAGGTCACATTCAATGGAGGTCCACTAGGAACTACAATCAAGAAAAATGGTCTATTATAGGTTTATACATATGACAGTTCATGGCTCTTAACCTAAATATTTTGAAGAAAGGGAGTCGTCAAAATTAACGCTTGGCCAGAAGGTGAACTAAGGTTATCGATACACCAAGATGTAAAATGTAAGGCTGTCGGTGCAACAAGAATAAGCTTTAACCTTCCTATCTGCTATATTTACCTGCTTCATTGGTCTTGAAGTTTTCAGAAACTATTCGGCTTTTCTGCAAATCACCCTGTACAGTCTGAATTCCAACAGTATACGCAGTGTACGGATTAAGTCCAGTAATATTGTATTGAGTTCGTGGAGATATATTCTTATGCTTGGTGCCGTTGAGATGTATAACGATCTGTGTTATAATACTAGAAACTGAGTCGAACGTTTGTAGTTTCCATATCACTTGTGCTGAGTAATCCGATTGTATAATTTTAATATCGTATACAGGAGCTGGCGTTTGTACTGTATATGAAAACAACATAAACTTAGTTTTGCAAGGAATTAAACATGCTACAGCATAATTTGGTACCGGTTTTGACAGGAGTAAAATTCTGAGCAGTTTTATAATTAAGTGCTTGTCAAAGGTCTGTTTTAGACATCGAATTCCCATCCTACTTTACATATAACATTGATTATTATACATTGTAGTTGGTAAAAGCAATTTGATTGGCTAAGAGCTTACAGTTAAATCGCGCAATCACGCAACCTACAGAAAATTCAGTTATCTGCTAGCAGATAACTCAGTTATCTGCAAATGAGCCTGTGATGATTAGGAAGCGGTATCTATTTACAGTTAAAATACAAGAACCTTCCGACTTCCGCAACTTGTTAATTTCTGTAATTTGTTCTATTTTCTGTAGCGATTTTTGTCGGCAAATATCGCGGTAGAATTCCCCTTTCTTTCCTTTATATACGTCAATTTGTAGCAAAGGATACACCTTTCGTTAGATTCTTTGCATAAAAGTTGTGAAATTTTAGTACGTCACTGAATGATTGTATTCGGTAATTTTAAATTTGTATAGTATGAACACACTAGGCGGCGGTTTAAAACCGACTTATCAACAAATATCGCTATAAGATCTAAGTTTCGCAACTTTTATGCAAAGAATCTAACGAAACGAAAGGTGTATCCATTGCTACAAATTGACGTTTATAAAGGAAGGAAAGCGAAATTCTACCGGATCCTAACGCGATATGTGCCGATAAAGCGGTAATCGCTACAGAAAATAGAACAAATAAATACGAAACAAGTTACAGAAGCGGGAAGGTTCTTGTATTTTGACTGTAACACAAACAAATGTATAATAAAACAATTATTGAATTCGGTTTTTGCGATATACAAAATTATCAAGGTCTCGGTAAGCGTTATCAGCCTCGCCTTCGGCTCGGCTGATAACGCTTACCTCGACCTTGATAATTCCGCAAATCACAAAAACCTCATTCAATAATTGTTCAATAATATCTGCACTTGCAAAATTCGCGCCGAATCAATTTGATTAGAACCATTATATCATGATCGTAGTTGACTACCTCCAGCTTGATTAATCATTTGACGAAACAAAATCATCAATGTGACAGATTGTTCAAGTTTCTGAAACTTAAACAATCTATTACATTAGAATTTTCATTGCTTTTAAAAAACAACGGCTTTTTTTATTATATCGCTCATACAATATGATGAATTGTGTTATCATATCAGATAAACGTCATCATTATACGCTTTTATTTCAATATCTTTCCACATATGCGTCATTAATTTATAATTATAACAATCGCTTACGTTCGATATAGATATCACCGTGCAATTAAATTGCCGCTTAAACTCATGCAGTGCTAAAGACAATTTAGATTATCTGATTCGCGACCTCGATCTGCATTATTGACGCAACGAGAACTGACTTGCATTTATCGAACGGTCTGTGCTAGTGACGAAAACACCAGAAAACGCGTGGTTGATGGGACATTTTGTCAGGCCGCCTTGCATGCATGTGGATTGATGGGGATTCTACTATTTGAAAAAAAAACCGATTTCGCATCAAAAACTTGCGTCATGAATAATGAATTTAAATTTCAATATTTTAAAGTCAGTGTTTCAATTATAAAAATTACGCCACCATGCAACCCTCATGCAGGCAACAAACATGCACTGGGACTTATAGGCTACATTTAATTAGCTAAACACATATTAAGCAAATGTAGAGTAAACCAATAAACTAATAGGCCTATATAAAACTACTATTACACCGAGAGGAAGAAACTAATTTTATTCAGTTTGTCCTCCCGACAGCACGTCGACTAGTATATGAGGAGTTCAAGGTGATGTAGACCTTCAAGTATAGCGACACAAATATGCTGCATGCATGAAATGAAATTTATTATCTGTATATGTTTGTCATTTGCGCCGTATCAATTTGATCGTTAGAACCATTACCACATTGATTACCTCGATTGGATGAAAGAAAACCATCATTGTGGAACAATTTATCACATTAGACTTTCCATTGCTTTTAAAAAAACATTATATATTAATATATACCATTATCATATAATATGATGGATTTCGTATTACATATATACATGCACGGCATCGTTATAACCACATATGTTTTCAGTTATTTTCATTCATATATATTTAATTTCAATATCTTTTAACATATGCTGATATGCGTTAATAATAACTCGCTTATATATAGGCTAGATTATAGTACTTGCGATTGGTATCACCATACAATTAAACTGCTACAGACAGTTTTTGACACTTCGACTTCGACAACGTACTACTTTACAGTATTAGTGCTTCCTTCACTTGAAATTGAAGTACATAAAATGGGTATGTCTATACATAGTCACATACAATTCCAGTTGGATGTGGTAGAAAAATGGCGGTCATGCATGAATATATAAGCTAGCAATAAGTAATAACTCACATAACTGCTTGGCAATTTGCCGTGTGACGTATGTTCGAACATTCTGGAAGCCTTTTACTTTCAATTTAATTTCAGACCGTGGCGGAGGCATATCGTGTTAATTGCAAAAGTGTTTAAATGGTGCGTTTATGTCTTTAATGATCTTATAAGGTTTCTGGGGGTGAAAATTATGCTTAATGAGCAATAATAAAGAACTATATACATCCTCTCTAAATGCAGATAAATACATGTAATCTATCGCTATTCTCTGCGTGGAATATTTATTTCTCACAAGCTAAGTGAAAATTATGTTTATAATGAGTGAACAATAGTTAAAAAGTAACATTTTGCATGATATATTAAATATATTATTAAATAAATATTTGACTGGCTGTCAAAGTAAAATCCAATCATCTAACATTTGCCAACGCATTTAAATATAGACAAGTGATTGAGATGTGAACATCCTCCTACTTCGTACTAGAAAGTTCCACAATATAATGCCAGATGTCTTTTCCTTCGGAACTTTGATCTCTACCCTCCTATTGTGTTAAATCATAGAGGTATAACATGCTATATCAATATGCTTTCACCCAAACTTGAAAATTCTCACGAATTAACGCTATTCCCTGCAATTTTGCCTCTAAATTTAGACCACTTCTTATGTACTTCAATTATATAACCGCTGAAGTATAGAAAATATAGGTCAAATTATTTAATTATATAAGCTCAATTTTTACTAAGTCATTTTTATTAGTGCCAGTCAAGAAATTTAAAAAATTCGAGATTTCTCGAAAATAAGGAAGTATATGCAGTATATATATATATATATATATATATATATATATATACATCCGTATAGGAATCATGTATTACGCTCTATCTCTACCTATATTACGCCCTATCTATATATGGTATTGAGCACTGTTTGTGTTTCGTAAACCAAAATCTTAAGCTATATATATATATATATATATATATATATATATATATATATATAGCTTAAGATTTTGGTTTACGAAACACAAACAGTGCTCAATACCATATATAGATAGGGCGTAATATAGGTAGAGATAGAGCGTAATACATGATTCCTATACGGATGAAACAGACTGTTGTGTTTTTTTGAGGTAAAACGAAAAACTATATATATATATATATATATATATACTCAAGTAACAGTAACTCAAGTTTGTCTTTTATATATATATATATATATATATATATATATATATATATATATATATATATATATATATATATATATATATATATATATATATATATATAGCCTAGTTACTGAAACGGTGGTTTTATTCGACCTGTCGTCGTCATTGAGTTATAACACAGACGAAATAAAGTTAAAAGAATAATCGCCCACTTATATAGTCACTCTTGCATTTTCCATATGTATAACCAATGACAATGGAGATTGTTACTCATCGCACCATTCGTCTTCACCCTCAAGAAAATATCCCCGTCTTCTCTAACTGATCCAGGCACTATAAGGCTTAGAAGACACTATATTGCGCATGCAGTGTCGTTAAATAAATTTGTGATTTTTATTAGTTTTCTCGTTATAATTACGTTTGCATGCATATACTGATATACACAGGCTAAATGTTTTTGTTGACATACATGCATGTTGATTCGGAAAAAGAAATTTTTATCTTTAAGTTTGTTAAGTTTCGCTTTAATTAACAAATTTTTGTCAGTTCTGCATGTATGCATGCATGCATATTAAAATTATCGCCCAATCAAGGTTTACTCGAGAATTAAATTAAAGTGCTTCATTATTTCAACCTTTTTGCAAAGAACGGAAACATGTATGCAGTTCATCACGATAATTTTGTATTACATATATATATATATATATATATATATATATATATATATATATATATATATATATATATATATATATATATATATATTACGCATATGCCATATGCATTTATTTCATGGTAAAATGTCTTACTTGTAGCGAAGGATACACCTTTCGTTAGATTCTTTGCATAAAAGTTGTGAAATTTTCATTTTAGTACGTCAAATGATTGTATTCGGTAACTTGTTTTAAATTTGTATAGTATGAACACACTAGGCGGCGGTTTAAAACCGATTTATCAGCAAATATCGCTATAAGATCTAAGTTTCGCAACTTTTATGCAAAGAATCTAACGAAAGGTGTATCCATTGCTACAAATTGACGTATATAAAGGAAGGAAAGCGAAATTCTACCGGATCCTAACGCGATATGTGCCGATAAAGCGGTAATCGCTACAGAAAATAGAACAAATAAATACAAAACAAGTTACAGAAGCGGGAAGGTTCTTGTATTTTGACTGTAACACAAACAAATGTATAATAAAACAATTATTGAATTCGGTTTTTGCGATATGCAAAATTATCAAGGTCTCGGTAAGCGTTGCGCTTACCTCGACCTTGATAATTCCACATATCACAAAAACCTCATCCAATAATT